GATAGATAGATAGATAGATAGATAGATAGATAGATAGATAGATAGATGTACATATGTACATGCATGTAACTGACCTTCCACCGCTGCTTCCATTATGGGTTAGTATTGACTCTTCATTTGTGTCACAGCTAAAGAATTGAAATTGTACACAATCAAATACCATTTAAACCAGAGACTTACTTCTCACTAAATTTTCCTACAACTTATAAATTGGTTGAACCAAAAAGATTGACATGATAGAGGAGAAAAGGGAGTTGGGAGGTGGGTTAACTAACACTAAGGCTGTATGAAAACCCTTATAGAAACTCACTACTTTATAAGCTAATATAAAAAATATAGATAACTCTGCATGGGTAGACAATGCTACTTCCAAAACACATAGGTTATGAAACAAAAATCTCAACACTGGGTATGAATGGAATGCTTCAAAGGGTCTCAGAAAGGTCCTGCCTTTGCTGTGAGTTGCCCAGCAGATCTAGAAAGTAAGACTCTAGTGCCAAACACACTACACACTATGGTAGTAGGACACAGAAAAATCAATCTGGAATTGACTGGGAAATTCCTCCCTGTGAGCTATTTTTCACAGTAATAGCATTAGTTCTTACTCAGTGCTGGATACTACTTATTATAATACTGATATGCAGGCAAGATGTACCCAGTGAGGCATTGGGGCTTAAATATTATGGGGTAACCAATTGCTTTCTGACTGGATTTGAGGCCATATCACCAGGAGAGAATTCATGCTATAAACCTGGTTAAAACCACTGACTGTGGAGGCCCTAGACCCTAGAAGGGGACCTACTGTTGTTATTTTTCTAAATGGTCATGTTGTCAAACTATCTTCTAAATATTTATATTATAAATATATCTTATATCCAATAGATTTGTGCTAGTCTCACCCTTGGTCAGAGAAGTTTCTTTTTGCAGTAAGCTTTGGTTAATACAGAGACATAGATGGTCTCAGAGCTGATATTAAATCACTATGAATACTCAGGTCCTAAATGGGAACCAAGGTTCAGAGAACATCATGGAAGAAGGAGCAGAAAGAATGTAAGAGCTGGGGAATAGGAGAAGTGCTGTGAAGTGTTATCTTTTCAGATATGACATGGTCATGGCACTCACAATATCATAGCAACTGTGCCTATCTGAAATAGACCTGTACAAGATCAAGTCAGTCAACACTAGGGCATGGGATGAGGAGGAGTTCATCAGGTCCCAATCCAGGCTGAGGAGCTATTGGCAGTTGATAGCTATTTGGGTAGAAAGAGTCATATTTCTTTGGGTATGTGACCCATACCCAAAATACTTACAGGGGCAAAATACTTACATCCCAGTGAATGTTTCCATGCCCAGGTGTGATAGGCAGTGCTAACTGGACTTAGTGAATTATTTAAAAGCAAAAATAAAAAGGGGGAAATGAAGTTGGGAAGGGAATGTATTGGGAGGTGAGAGGTGACCTGTAGGTAGAAGTGCATAAAACACATTGTATGCATGCATGCAATTCTTAAAGAATAAGTAAAATCACTATATAAAAACTGATATGAATTTAAGCATTAGAACAGAAGTATTGCCCCCTGTCCTTAGACATGAAGGTTTATGTGAATGAAATACATGGGCTTACAAAAGATACTTTAATATATCAAGATTTAAGAACTTTAGTTTGAAACCTAATGTGATATGAAATAGTCTTTTATAATAGAAATGAATGTTATGAGAAGTCACCCTTCCTTGTTTCTGGTTTTGTTTGGTAATCTGTGCTTATTATATTTTCATGAATGATGTATAAGACATATTTAGATATAGAAGATTAAGTCACAGAATTCCCAGGGAAATTGAATTTTAAAAAATCTAAGTTAAAAACCAATTTTATTTATTTACAGGAAAAAAACCTTTTATTTGTTATTATTAATCCAGTCATGAACACTCAATTATATAACACTACATTTGCTTCCTGTTGAGTAAAATTTCTCAGTAAAAAGTAATACATTTAAGCTGATGCTACCCTTCTTAGCCCTTCTAATTTTCTGCTTCCTGTCATTTATTTCTTCCTTAGTTTCACCTAGCAAGGTTGTGTTTACCACTTATCATGTGATGTCAGGGAACAACAGTTCTGGAAGCTGGAGGTGCTGCTAGCACACTAGTGTGTCTGGGTTGGGGGCCAGGCTTATGTGGAAGCAAAGCTCTGGAGAACTCACTCTTCTTTATTGAGAGTTCCTCTGTTGCCTGTTACTCCCACCTCTACATTTCTGAATGAGACACTTATCTCCCTGGATCATTGTCAACAACACACACATGGTGTGGGAAGTCCTTCTCTCTATGTGTTGTTTTTATTGATTAATGAATAAAGCTTTATTGTCCAGTGGCTTAGCAGAATAGGATAAGGTGGGAATTCCAAGCAGACAGGGGAGGAGAGAGTAGGTAAAGTCAAAGAGATGCCATGTAGCTGCTACCAAAAGAGAGAGATGCTCAGAAACTTTACCAGTAAACCAAGAGCCTCTTGGAAAAATATAAAATCATAGAAATGGGTCAATTTAAGATTAAAGAGCTAGCAAGAAATATGCATAAGATAATGATAATTTCTGTGTGGTTATTTCAGTCCTGGGTGATTGGGAAATGAATATAGAGCTTCCACCAACACACAGGCATTTAAACAGCTGAACTAGAGATTATGGTTGCTAAACTCTGAAGTTCTCAACAGACTATGATCAAGTATCTTTGATCAGGTTCATTATTTTGTGTCTTGTACCTAGTTAAAAAAATGTCACCTGCAGATGCTGAAAGGTTGTGTGTATGCATTGTCGTGAGTACAGTAAAATGGTTTACATTCAGAGGAATGGCATTCAGAAGAAAAAGCTCACCACATGTTGCCATCTAATTTAAGGGACTGGGAAGCACTTGGCAACTCCTTTATATTTCTGTAAACAAACAAAAAATAGACACAAAAAATAGTTAGAAAATATCAAAGAATTCATGATTTTTCCCTATAGAACACAAAACTAGGTTACATACAATGTATTGTGGGGCACACAGCAGAAGTTTAGGCCATGGCCTCAGGTTACCAGAGTGGAAACATGAACTGTTCTCAAAAATGTATGTGAACACATAGTGTGTGTGTGTGTGTGTGTGTGTGTGTGTGTGAGAGAGAGAGAGAGAGAGAGAGAGAGAGAGAGAGAGAGAGAGAGAAAGTGTATGTGCATGTATGTGTGTGTGCTCATAGTTCCTTAATATCAGCACATTGACCAGTTTTGTCTCTTCATTGACCACAGCTTACTGCAAAAAAAAAAGCTTCTGTGATTAAGAAACACACATTTACTGGAAATAGAAGGACTTACCAAGTTCAGCAATAAAGATTAAATGTTTTCTATCTTTTGACCAGCAGGCTACGGTGGGACTAAAAGTTATCTGGTGAGACCAGAAGGGAGGAGAAAAAGGATGGTGAACAGCCCCTCCCTTCTTCTCTGCCCATGGTGCCCACTGGGAGTCCTCTATAGAAAGAGTTTCTGCAGGTCAGGAGTTGTTGCAAGGAAATGGATATGGGCTAAAAGGGAAAGCTGAGAGATCCCATTAGAAAGAGCTAGGGGGCCCGGTTGTGGTGGCATACACCGGTAGGATTTGCTGAAGGAGGCAGAGGCAGGAGGATCACGAGTTCGAGGCCAGCCTGGGCTACACATTTGGTGCTGGAGAGATGGCTCAGAGGCCCTGAGTTCAGTTCCCAAAAACTACATGATGGCTCACAGCCATCTGTAATGAGATCTGGTGCCCTCTTCTGGCAAGCTAGGGGAGCCCTCTATATGATATCCTTGAGAAATAATAAAAAAATACAGCATATGAAAGTCTCAGAGAATAATACTATTAAATAAACAAATGATTAATAATTTTAAATTGCTATGTAGCAACTATACAAATTGACATATTTAAATTTTGCAATATATTCTTATTAAAGAAATACAACTCCTATGAAACCTTGAATTTCCTAGATTCCTAGGAAAATAAAAAATAAAACTTCTGCAGCATTCCATCCCAAATCACAGCAACAATGGAATTGTTGGATTCAAGAAAGGACAATGAGGTGTTATTGTTGCTATGGGTTAGAAAGAAAACTCCAGGATATGCTTGCTTTGATCCACAGATCAAAATACTTCACACTCTGAAACAAGTTGAGTAAATGCCTCTCAAAATGAGGGGGTAAAATTATTAGCCTTATTGGTTTCTTCTAAAATTTTATCTTGTTCATGTGTGTGTGTGTGTGTGTTATGTGTGTCAGTGTGCATGCTCATGCCAATGCATGCATGTAGAGGTGAGAGGACAGCTTCTGATAACTGACTCTCTCCTTCCATTCTGTGGATCACTGGAAACAACCTCAAGTCATCAGGCTGGGGACAAAAGCACCTTTAACCCCCATCATGGGGGGTCCTGTGTGTTACTTCTTTTGGGTTTTTATATATGAGTTACTTTTTACTTATTTTATATAATTTTTTCTACTGACTTTTCTACTGATGTTGATGAAAGGGTACTAGTTTTTTCTGTTTATAACTGTATTTTATATCTAGTTTGTTCATATGTTATGGTTGTTTCTGCTACTTGTTTCCTTCTTTCTGAGAGGTCCTAGGGACAGATCCCAGGCCCTGAACATTTGTTACTAAATATACTCTCAACCCTGTTCTGAATAATCATACCTCAATCCAGCTACGATATAGCACTGACTGAACTTAAAAAATACTTCAAACCTTAAGAATAAGGCAGATAAAAACAGCCAGTCATCAGCTCTTCCCCCAAAACAGGCACAAACAGGGAAGAGCTGAAAACCCATGCTCCATTTTACCTCCTCTGTGACAATAGTGAGTACAAAATTTCTATTTACACCACATCGACAAGTGTCCTCAGCATTGGTAACCCTGTAACTTCTCAGACCACATATTTCTGATAGTCCAGAGAAGTAAACACAGAACACATATCTGTGTGCACACCCACCCTTGTTATAACCTACAGAGGAATCGGGTCACATGGGCAAAAGCATAACTGCACTGTCCCAAAGCCACTGCTCATTGCTGAAGAAGCCATAAAGAAACTACTCCAAGAATTCATTTGGAATGATATTCAACACTACACACAAATTGATCTCCCTGGGCATTCCACGGGAAGGCTACTCCCCAAGAATGACCTTACAGATGCACAAAGCTCAACAGATAAACACAAGGAATTTTAAAAGCAGGCAACATGGCTTCTTCAAAAGTTAAAAGAACTCTAAAAATGAACTCCAAAAATATGAAATTAGATTAGATGCCTGATAAATAATTCAAAAAAAGATTCTTTAACAATAATTTCAAAAACAATATTAAATAATCAGCTGATTGAGTTAGAGAAGACAACAAAGAATATAAAAGAGCAATTCAGTTAAAGACATGAAGATTCTGGGGAAAAATAGAAATCTAAATGAAAAGTTCAGTAAATTAAATGTTAAAATAACTCAGTGAATAATCTCACAAAGTAAAAGCAAAAGTGGACTTGATAATACTGACAAATTAGAACATTTAAACATTTAAAAAGATCTTCCCGCCATCCTTATCTCCCTGGCTACTCCAAAGGGGCGGCTTCCCCCAGCTAAACCCTCTCCCCTCCTACCCCATCCCGGCTTTCTGCCTGTAACCCCTACCCTTCCTCTCTCCCTTTTTCGGGGCTTAAAATCCTCCAACTCAGCCTGGGTGGGTGCCGCGGCCAGGATGGGGGGGTGAGTACAAACGGGAGGGAGTTCCTTTGTTTTAAAAGCCTGCCTGCAGCAAGGTAAGACTGCAGGCAGGGAGACTTCTGACCAGCGAGTGACACGGATCAGGTAGCAGAAGATACAATGGAGGGGTAAGTGTATTCCTGACTGCCACACAAGTCCGGTAAGGGAACACACAATCTTCCCGCCATCCTTATCTCCCTGGCTATTCCAAAGGGGTGGCTTCTCCCAGCTAAACCCTCTCCCCTCCTACCCCATCCCGGCTTTCTGCCTGGAACCCCTACTCTTCCTCTCTCCCTTTTTCGGGGCTTAAAATCCTTCAACTCAGCCTGAGTGGGTGCTGCCGGGACAGGGCGGTGAGTGCAAATGGGAGGAAGTTCCTTTGTTTTAATAGCCTGCCCGCAGCAAGGTAGGACTGCAGGTAAAGTGATTCCTGGATAGCAAGGGGCACTAATCCGGTAGCAGAAGACCCAGGAGAGGGAAGAGCCATTGGAGAGCATCTGAAGGAAGAGATAGGCAGGCGCCAAGGCAAGAATTCCTCCAAATATCTGAAAAACAACATGAAAACACCAGATCCCAGCGATCTTATGACAGAAGGACTTAAACACACTATTCCAGAAGAAGTGGGAAACAGTGTCATTATGAAAGCAATAGAGTCTCTTAAACAGGGTATGAATAACTCACTTAAAGAAATAGAAGAGAAATATAACAAAAAGATGGAAGAAATGAGTAAAAAAATGGAAGACAAATATAACAAAAAAGTTTGAAGAAATGAGTAAATTCGTAAATGAAACCCTGGGAAACCAAGAAAAAACAATCAAACAGGTAATGGAATCAGTTCAAGAATTGAAAACTGAAATGGAGTCAATGAAGAAAACACAAACCAAGGGCTGGATGGATATGGAAAATCTAGGTAAACAAACAGAGACTTCAGGAACAAGCATAACCAATAGGATACAAGAGATGGAAAAACGAATCTCAGATTATGAAGACACCATAGAGAAAATAAACGCTCTGACCAAAGAAAACAGCAAATCCAACAAATTCTCATCACAAAACATTCAGGAAATATGGGACATAATAAAAAAAACCAAATCTACGAAGAATAGGGATTGAAGAAGGAGAAGAACTGCAGATCAAAGGCTCAGAAAATATATTCAACAAAATTATAGAAGAAAACTTTCCCAACCTAAAGAACGATATTCCTATGAAGGTTCAAGAAGCATACAGAACACCGAATAGAATGGATCAGAAAAAAATATCCCCTCGCCATATAATAATCAAAACACAAAGCATTCAGATTAAAGAAAGGATATTAAGAGCTGCAAAGGATAAAGGTCAAGTAACTTATAAAGGTAAACCTATCAGACTTACACCAGACTTTTCTATGGAAACCATGAAAGCCAGAAGGTCCTGGATAGAGGTACTGCAGAAACTAAGAAACCATGGATGCAAGCCCATACTACTATATCCAGCCAAGCTATTGTTCACTATCAACGGAGAAAACAAAATATTCCAGGATAAAAACAAATTTAAACAATACGTAGCTACTAATCAAGCCTTACAGAGAATATTAGAAGGAAAATCACAACCCAAGGAATCCAACATTCCCAACACTGCCTACAATAACTCAGACATCTAGTGACCCTTTACAAGCACAACTCATAGAAGGAAAACACATACACTCTACTACCCAAAAAAATGACCGGAGTCAACAACCACTGGTCATTAATATCTCTTAATATCAATGGACTCAATTCACCTATAAAAAGGCACAGACTTAGAGATTGGATACGAAAACAGGATCCAACATTCTGCTGTATATAAGAAACACACCTCAACCACAAAGACAGACACCTACTCAGAGTAAAGGGCTGGGAAAAGGCTTTCCAGGCAAATGGACCTAAGAAACAAGCAGGTGTAGCCATTCTAATATCTAACAAAATCGACTTCAAACTAAAATCAATCAGGAGAGATGGAGATGGACATTTCATACTCATAACAGGAAAAGATCATCAGGAAGAAGTCTCAATCCTGAATATCTATGCCCCTAATATAAAGGCACCCACATATGTAAAAGAAACTCTTCTAGAACTCAAGGCAATCATCAAACCACTACTACACACTAAGAGTAGGAGACTTCAACACTACTTTCTCACCAATGGACAGGTCAATCAGACAGAAACCTAACAG